AGCCCGTGGATCAGCGAGTCATTTTGAGTTTCAAGTCTTACTATTGAAGAAATACCTTTCATAAGGCTACAGCTGCCACAGACTGTGATTCCCCTGAGGGGTCTGGGCAAAGTGAACTGAAAACCTTCTGGGAAGGATTGACCAGTCTAGATGCCATGAAGGGGGGTTCGAGGCTTCAGCAGAGGAAGGAACTGCAGGAGGGTGGAACAGCCAGAGAACTAGGGTGAGAAGTGGAGCCTGAAGACGTGGCTGAACTGTTACAGTCTCGTGATAGAACTTGAACAGAGGAGGAGTCGCTCCTGCTGGAGGAGCAAAAAAAGTGGTTTCCTGAGATGGACTCTCTCCTGGAGAAGATGCTGAGAAGACTGTAGAAATGACAGCAAAGGGTGGAGCATAAGGCAGAAATCTGGTGGATAAAGCAGTGGCAGGGTTTGAGAGGATGGACTCCAACGTTGAAAGTTCTATTGTGGGTAAAATGCTATCGAAGAGCATCGCATGCTACAGAGAAATCCTTCTTGAAAGGAAGAGTCAACCAATGTGACAAATTTCACTGTTGTCTTACTTTAAAAACTTGCCACAGCCACCCTAACCTCCAGCAACTGCCACCCCGATCAGTCTGCAGCCATCCACATCGAGGCAAGACCCTCCACCAGCAAAAAGATGACAACTCCCCGAAAGCTCAGATGATGGTGAGCTCTTTTCATAGCAATAAAGTATTTTTAAATTAAGATGTATACACTGTTTTTTAAGGACATAATGCTGTTGCACACTTAATAGACTACAGTCTAGTGTATACATAACTTTTATATACATCGGGAAACCCCAAAATTCATGCGACTTGCTTTATCGCGCTATTCGCTTTATCGCACTATTCGCTTTATTGCGGTGGTCTGGACCAGAACCTGCACTATCTCCGAGGTGTTTGCACTTCATACTGCACGGACTTCCCAGTTTAATCCATCCTCTCCTTCCCACCCTAAACTCTGGCCCTTCCTATCCTCCTCTTGAGAAAGCGGCACGACCAGTCACCCTGTTGTCCGGGCCTGGGAGGTCAGCGGCATCCTGGTCTTCTGTACTCCACGCCCTGCGTGCAGTGAACGCTGAGGTCCTGTGGCGGTTTCCTGCCTAATATTTCTCCCACCTGGCGCCTTCTGCACATGCCCACGACTGCTGCCTGTGTGCAGGATGTCCCTGCACCTCACCTGGGTTATCAAAAGCACCCTCACTGTTCTTGCTGCTTTCCGAGTGGCCCCTCAAGCCATCCTTTACATGGCTGGCAGGGGAAAGCTGCTGTAGTTGGGGGCGGGGGGAGGCCGAAGGAAGGAGAATCCCAAGCAGGCTCCATGCCCAGCTCAGAGCCTGACGTGGGGCTCGATCTCACCACCCCGAGATCATGACCTGAGCCGAAATCACAAGTCAGATGCTTAACTGCCTGAGCCGCCCAGGCACCCGTGGAAGTTGCTCCTTTAACAGCTCCATGCAGCCTTCAGGATGAAGTCCAAATCCCTGAACATAGCACAGAGAGCGGAACTTTATAATATGGCCCTGCCCACCTACCTAAGTTCACCTCCCACCTCTCCCCACGTGCACATACGTCTGTGCATTCTGTTCCCTTTGCCTGGGACCCTCTTCCCACTTTCTTAAAAAAAAAGTAAAAAAAAAAAAACACAAACCAATCCTGTGGTAAAATATATATAACGTAACATTCACCATTCGAATCCAGTTTTCTTTCTCTAGATTATTCCTACTTATCCTTCAAATTCAGCTCAAGGGTGACCTCTTCTAAAAAACCTTTCCTGAGTCCTCAGACTGGGGTAGGTGCCCATCTTTTGTGCTACCAATTTTAGTTCTTAAACACATTGTACTCTGTGTTAACTTATGTCTCTTTTTATTACAGACTCCCTAAGAGAGTCTGTGTCTGTTTTTTTTAAGGTTTTATTTATTTGTGAGAGAGAGAGAGAGAGAGAGAGCGTGCAAAGGTGCATAATCCGGGGTGGGGGGAGGTGCAGAGGGAGAGGGAGAAGCAGATTCCCCACTGAGCAGGAAGCCTGATGTGGGGCTTGATGCCAGGACCGTGATATCATGCGTGACCAGAGCTGAAGGCAGATGCTTAACTGACTGAGCCACCCAGGTGCCCTGAGAGTCTTTGTCTTATTTAATTTTGTATCCCCAAGGCTGCAGTGTACAGTTGTACAGGTTATGCACTGCACCAGGATGTCTGCTTGAGGAAGTGAGTAGGGGATGAAGACCATTAGCCAACAGTGCACTCTGGGACAGGGCTGTATCCAGGTCTTTTTCTATCTTGCACAAAGATGCCACGGAGGACATCGGGGGCCCTATGTATCCTCAGGCCTTGTTATAGAATTGGCACATAGTATTATAGTAGGTGCTTATTAAATGTTAAATTGAGTAAAGACAGATGATGGATGTATGTTCTAGACAAAGGTACCAGAGGAAGACATGGTGGGGAAGCTGGGGTAATGGGACGGGACTGGAGGACTGGATTAGGGGGTTTGGAACCAGTTTGTAGAGGGTCTCTGATGTTGGGCTGAGGGCCTAACTCTTAATCCAGTAGGCAGTGAGGAAGCTTTGAGAATTTTTGAGATGACTGTGACTTAGAATCACAAAATATTCAGGCTTGAAAAGGAGACTCAGAGAAGTGAGGTGACTTGCTCCAGGTCACACAGAAAGTTCGTAGCTGAGCCCAGACTTGAACTGGCTTCTCTTGCCCCCCGGCTCAGTGCTGGCTCTTTCACACTGCTCTCTGAGGAAGCCTGCCAGAGCCAAGGCAGAGCCCTCCGAGTCTCCAAGAAAAGTCTTCCCAGCCTTCCCGACACACTCCTGGTGATGGAGGGTAGGGGGCTGAGAGCCGGGCTGGTGGCGGGGGGGGAAGGAGGAGGAGGCAGCTGCCGTCCACGCTCAGCCTCCTTCGTGGCGCACCCCTCGTCAGTCTTCAGATCTGCCTACTTGAAGGTGGGCAATCATGGGCTAGCTTTCTGCTCTTCACACAAGGTGAGCGCTCTAGTTTCTGGAGCCTCTTTTTCTCATAAGAAGGATTTCCCTCCTTGCAGTCCTTTCGGCTGCTCTTCTTTGGGCCCCTGGCTAATGTTCGCAGGCTCTTTCAGAACCATGCTGCCCTGGCTAAAGGGCCCGGCCCACGGCGTCTTCACGAGGGCGTGTGGCGTTGGTCTGAGCAGAGCGTGGGGGCTGATCTAACCCAGGGGTCTCCCTGAAGGCCGGCCTGCCTCGAGACGTCTTGGAGCGTGTCTCACGACGCTGGGACCATGTCTATCGTCTGTCATCCGTTGTGTTCCTGTTATGATCTTCCGTGACCCCCGATTCTCCTTCTGGCTCATCCCTCACGAGCTCCTGGTCCAGCTCTCTTCCACTGGTTTCTCAGTACTCTGGACTCCGAAGAAATTACTTTATGCTTTTCCATTTTCAACTTCATTTCTCTAGTTCTGCAGAGAGATTTGACTTCTCAACCTTTACCACCAGTTGGAGGAGCTCTGTCCTTTGGCACACATAACCATGAGGATGGGAACATTATCACCACATTTTTATTGAATGTGTGCTCCGCTCCAGGCATTGCGCTTGCCGCCTTTATAAAAACTAGCTCCCTCGGTCCTCACAACAATTCCACGGGGTTGAGCTCTCAGTAGCCCCATTTTACAGATGAGGAAAACTGAGGCACACTGGATCGTGCAACTTGCCCAGAGTCACCCAGCTGAGATCCGCACACGGGCAGCGATGCTGGACCTTACATCGAGACACCAGGGGCTGCCTCGGCAAGGACGCTTGCCGGCACTCTCCGAGGTCACTGACACAAGGGGGCCCCTCACTCTGAGCAAGTAGGTCCAGAGGCCACCCACCGTCACTCTCAGGCTGGATCTTCCCTAACCTGCTACATCCTCCTACTAGATGGCCCAGGGACGCTAACAAGCGGAGAGAACAAAGCGTGCCCACGAGGCCCACCTGCACGACAGGTAACTCCCCTCCTTGACAGCTGTGTCTAAACCTTTCCACTCTATCACAAGAGGCTCTCTAATTGATCTGGCATAATGAGCTCTTTACTAAGTCATCATAATTTCCAGTGAGCAGTGACAAACTAATTGATGGATGATTTTAGTCCACAGCTTTACTAGGTATGAACTTAAGTGTAATTAACTATCATTAATTAACAGAACACTTTTTCTCTTTAAATATACAAATTAGGCAGGCTCCACACTTATCCCTTGTCTGCCTTCATGACACCGGAACGAGAACAGAAGGTTAGTGCCTCTCTCAGAAGCCAGTCCTGAAGTGTCCCATGTTGGGGCTGTCAGCATTTGAAGATGTTCACCTTCTGCCTCCTGATCTCCTTTTCAGGTCTGGTTTCCTATCTGTCCACTCCACAGGTAACCTTTTCCTGACTTTTGGGTAAAGACTGAGATTAAAAAAAATGGACCCAAAGCCTCTGATTCTCCACAGCCACCTGCAACTAGCCCTCTCCTACCCCATCAAAGGGGTGACATTCTCTTAGGATTTCCTCTTTTCCTCCCAATTACCTGCCTCTGTGGGCGGCTCTTCTGGCAGGGAGGCAGGGGGGCTCGCTGGGGCCCTGCCTCCCAAGGCTTCACTCCCTGCGGGGCAAACTGTCCGTGCTTTTGGTTATTGACATCAGTGCTTCTCTTCACTGGGGCGGAAAATTGAGAGATGACCACCTAACTGAGGACTATTTCCCTGGCACCCCGTTCCTTGACACGACTTGGCTCAGCTCTCAGGAACGGAAAGGCTTCCCCTGTCAGGCACGCGGTGCTTTAAGGCCCCGTGTGCCTTCTAGGGGTTTAGGTTTCTCGTCCTAGCCCCAGTCCCATCGTGCGCTGGTTCTCTGTCCGTTCCCTCTCCTCATTCCCCAAATTCCTGGACTCACACCCAGGAACAAAGCCAAAGGGTAAACGCCGGTTCCTGTGGTGACGGGGGCGGGGGGGGGGGGGGGCGGGGGGGCGCCCGACACTCACCATGGTTTGTCCCTCGATCCTTTTGCAGAAAAGACCGTGTGCTGTTTGCTGCTAGAGGTAAGTAGATTGTCTTTGGGCGTTTTGAATGGCTTTGAGGTGCTGCTGACAGAGTTCTGGCCGCTGAGACAGGCTTTTGTTTTCACCTGTGCTAACGATGTCCTGGAATTGGAGGGTGGAGTTGCTGGGGAGGGAGAAGGTCTACACATTGAACCATGTCTTCTCTCTGCAGAGGAAGAAAGAAGGGAACTCAGCACATCATCCGAAGCAAGTGAGACTCACATGGCTCATGCATACTCAAATACACAACAGGCAAAGAGAAAAGTGTTTATCTTGCAGGGTCGGCAGCCCTGGAGCCCCAGGTCTGACTAGGATTTTGTCTTGACATCTGCTCCTATCCCACCAATGAGGAGTGATGACGTTCTGAATTTCTGTATCAAATGGCATGCTGAACTAATACCCAGGTTCTCACAGGAGGCCTGTCACCAGGCTAGCCTCATGCAAAACCACCTCCACAGGACCAGCAGAGGGGACACCAGGTGTTCCCGGAACAAAGTGGGGTAACCACACAGCCAAAGTGATCCCCAGACAGCTACATGGAGGCCCCAAGGTCCCTCAGGGCAGCGGGTAGGGAAGGACTCTCAAGAGAACAAATAGACAATTCTCGAACCTGACCCCCTCCCCAACCTCCAGCAGGAGCACGAAGGTCAGAAGGGACCAGAAGGGCTGAATGAAATGCCAGGAAGTGGCCCGGCTTCTGTCCACATGCCACTGCGGCCTCTCCAGGGCTCATTGAGGGCCAGGCCCTAGCTGCTGGTCCAGAACCTGCAGGAGGACATCCGTGCTTGAGGGAGAAGTCACAGATGTGGGGCCTGGGTGTAGGCGGATGGGCACAGCTTCTTGAGGTTCTACAGAAAATTAACTAGAGCTCTGGGCAGAGATGCCTTGCTTGTTCTCACTCTGTCAGCCCCTGTGGTTGGACTCAGTGGGCAGGATGAGGGTGCTGACCCGGACAACAGGTGCACGACATAAAGTCCTTAACGGTTATACGGTAACAGGTTTCATCCACGATAAGGACTCCCTCTCAAGAAAAACGCACATTTACACATGCACAGAAACTTTGTAATCAATTATAGGAAGGAATCCTGGACCCCCAAAAGACAAAGGCTCTGAAATCCTAAGTCCCCTCCGGCTCTCCGGCGCCCACTACAGGGCCCCCCATATAGTTATTAGTGTTTCGTTCATGTGCTGAATAAATAAACGAAATTATATCAGACGTCCTGATGGGGGGGCACCTGGCTGGCTCAGTCAGTGGGGCACGTGACTCTTGATCTCGGTGTTGTAAGTTCGAGCCCCACACTGGGGTACAGATTACTTAAAAATATAATCTTCAAAAAAAAAAAAAAAAAAGATGTCCTGATGGGAAGAACTAGAGATCACAAATCTGGAAATGTGGGTTGAATGCTGATAATGAACAAGGTGGGAGGTGAAGATGGCAGTCCACATTGTCCGTCCATCACCAAGCTGGGTATCAGGCTTTTCTCATGAGTGAGACATTACTGGAGGTTAGCTATTCCAGGCACCTGACCCGGGAGAAGAAAGCCAGACTAACCTGGCGATCAGGAATGGGCCTTTGGGGTTTTCTCTGGGTTCCCTCATACCGATGGGCTGCTAGGTTGTCTCAAGCAGATTGACTCTCGTCCTCTGATGAAGTGGGAATTGGGGGGAACTGGATTTTCAAGCATCTGATTGTTGGGTACTCTTGCCTCACCAGTGCTCGTAGGTTGCCCACACTGAGTTACTTTACTGGGTGGTTTTTCTTCATTGAGTCAGAGTAGACCTTGCATCCATGCTCAGGTCCCAGAACCATTCTGCTGTAGGTCTTACAAATCAAGAGCTCGCCTCCTAAGGGAGGCTCTGATCACTGCGACCCGGGTTCCCCACTTTAAATCCGTACACAGACTTTCTCTCCTGCACCAGTGGCTGCCAAGCTTGTTCTTGAATCTCAGGGGACAGAAGTACGGGTCTCTTTTTGGGATACCTTGAAAGAGTGAGACATTTACTCCAGTCTGAACAATAAGGAGCAGTTTAAATAGGAAACACTGCTTTAATCTGTTTATTACAATTCAAAACCACACATTTAAAAAAAAAATTAAGGGGGGTGCCTGGGTGGCTCAGTCATTAAGCGTCTGCCTTTGGCTCAGGTTGTGATCCCAGGGTCCTGGGATGGAGCCCCCGCATCGGGCTCCCTGCTCCGCGGGAAGCCTGCTTCTCCCTCTCCCACTCCCCCAAAAAAAAAACCCTCTCCTGTTGTGTCTCTCTCTGTCAAATAAATAAATAAAATCTTAAAAAAAAAATTAAGATGAGCGAAGGCAGCCGCTTAACCGACTGAGCCACCCAGGCGCCCCTATCTTCAAGTTTTGATGAATACTCAAGAGCCAGCCCCAGGGCATCTGTTTTGATGTAGTGGGAGAACGCTGGGTAGCGAGCAGCCAGAGGTCTAGGCCCCAACTCCAGCCACACGGCAGTATTGGGCGTATGGCCCAGAGTTCACCACTAACACAGTCTCAGTCTCCATGTCTTTATCTGGCTTCTAAGGTCTCTTGCCTCTCCATTACCATAAATACAAGGATTCTTACACCCGCTCCTTCTCTCCTCATCCCTCATGATTCTCTAATATTACGGCAATAATTACAGCCTAAGTATTGAAATATTTTACCCAGGCAGGGTCTTCCTTGGAGGAATTCATCCTTTGTGAAATCGTACTGGCCTTTACAACCCCTGTGAGGCAGGCAGGAAGCAGCCAGGCGTCTCCACCCTCCTCACGGCTGACTGGCCAAAGAAGACCCAGATTGGCGAGGTAACTCACCAAGGTCAGGGCCAATGGCTACGTGAGGAATGGGCCTCTGTGCCGTGTGCAGGGGCCGAGCGCCTTCTCAGGAAGACAGGAAATGGGGTGTACTGCGACCAAGATTTGGAAGCCAGGAAATTAGGAAATGCAGGACTCAGAATCTCGGAAGGTCAGAACTGGATTGAAAGTCAGCCGGTCCGATCTCGTTGCTGATGGACGAGGTTAGAGGAGTTATCAGTTACCAGCCTGCAGGGCGAAGCTAGTTGGGGGCCACGCCAAGACCAGAACCAAGTCTTCTCACTTCAAATCCATAGTTATTGCTGCCCTTCCGAAGCGTCTGGCTTAGCAATTCCTTTTTTGGCAAGGGTTTCGAGAATGAAAATATGACTTTGATGTTTACCACCATGGTTTTGAAATTTTCTTCATTTACTCACTTGCTGATCACTTGCTCAAGCTGACACGGTGGGTAGGGGGAACGGATGTGCAGAAATAGTCCTCAGCTCTGGTGGAGAGGTAAGCTTTGATAACGAAGAGAAATTTTGTTTTCCTAACTAAGAGTTAAAAATAATACAAGTAAATGGAGAGAGACAAAAAAAAAAAAAACTCACTCATATGTGGAATTTAAGAAACGAAACAAATGAACAAAGTAAAAAAAAAAAAGAGAGACAAACCAAAAAACAGACTCTTAACTAGGGAAAACAAACTGGTGGTTGCCAGAGGGGAGGTGGGTGGGGGAAATGGGTGAAATAAGTGATGGAGATTAAGATTAAGAGTACACTTGTCGTGGGGCGCCTGGTGGCTCAGTCAGTGAAGCGTCTGACGCTTGATTTCAGCTCAGGACCCTGAGATCAAGCCCCGGGTCGGGCTCTGCGCTGGGCGTGGAGCCTGCTTAAGATTCTCTCTCTCCCTCCCCCATTGCTCCCCACTCAACTCACACGCCCTCTCTTAAAAAAAAAAGAGTATACTTGTCGTAATGAGCAGGGAGTAACGTACAAAATTGTTGAATCACTATATTGTGCACCTGAAACTAATATAACACTGTATGTTAACTCTATGGGAATTACAGTTTTTAAATAATAATAATACAAGTAAACAAAGATAAATCACAAGGAAGGGTGCCATGAGGACAAAACGAATGAGCCAGACCAAGGATTCTAAAATCACCTTCTCAGGGAATTCTGTTTAGTGACCCAGCCAACACGTTCCACGGCTAAATTCACAGAAAAAAATGAAATCAACGGATACGCTTTTTTCTTAAGATTTTTAGTTCCATAAATTCTTCTTAAATCACCAATTGGAAGAACAAGTTGTAGAGGAGAGAATATTCATCAAAACTTGAAGATAGCCCTTTACCCTTAATTTTTTTTTAAATGTGTGGTTTTGAATTGTAATAAACAGATTAAAGCAGTGTTTCCTATTTGAACTGCTCCTTATTGTTCAGACTGGAGTAAATGTCTCACTCTTTCAAGGTATCCCACAAAGAGACCCGTACTTCTGTCCCCTGAGCTTCGAGAACAAGCTTGGCCGACACTGGTGCAGGGGAGAAAGTCTGTGTACGGATTTAAAGTGGGGAACCCGGGTCACAGTGATCAGAGCCTCCCTTAGGAGGCGAGCTGCACGCTTCACTCGGCGAAGCTTTTGAAAATGGGGAGAACTGATGTCCTGGGTAGCGCCGAGTGAGTAGATTTTTCAGAAAGATCCAATTCCTATTCAATCGTTGTTTCTCTAGTCTGGGAAGACCCGCCTGTGGAGAACTCACATGGTTTTGTCTTTTGGTGGAGAGGTGGGTGGGCTGCTGATAGGAGCAGATAGGGTCTTAGTTTCTTGTAAAAAGGTACTGCTGTGCGGGTGCAATGTCCCTGGGTAAAGTGTTCCAGATTTCTATGACAATCATTCTGAAATGAGTCCTCACCTACTCTGGGCTTTTTTCTGTTCTGGTCAAGGGACCACCTAAGGTGGATCCTTATCATTATTTTTATTCCAATTGCCCTGCCCAGGAAGAGTTTATAGAACATTGTATTTTTTATTCACTATTAAAATACGTTATAGACTTAAAAAAATTTTTTAGAGAAAAAGTCTTTTTCTCCAATTTTTCTTTCTCTGTTAATGTAAATAGACACATTAGCAAAATTGTAATCAATTGATATTTTGGACTATTCTTTTTCAACTAACATTATTCTATTTATATGTTACTGATTCCCATATACTGGTCATTTTAAATGGTTAGGTAATATTCAATCATTGCTTTATATTATTTAGTCACTCTCTTACTATCTACTTACTGTCTGTTTTTTGGGTTTTTTTTTTTTTTTGGCTTTTTAAAAAATAATTTATTTAAAAAGTGTTTTAGGATTATTTCTTTGAGGGATAGTTTC